TGTCAAGATTCAATGCATATCACGACACTGAACTCACGATACGATATTATTGCGATACTCTAAGACATGATAAAAGGTAAAAAAAAAAATACTATTGTATAAAAATGCTACTAGGGGTGTAACGATACCCTCATGTCACGATTCAATGCATATCACGACACTGAACTCACGATACGATATTATTGCGATACTCTAAGACATATGATAAAAGGTAAAAAAAAAAAATACTGTTGTATAAAAATGCTACAAGGGGTGTAACGATACCCTCATGTCACGATTCAATGCATATCACGACACTGAACTCACGATACGATATTATTGCGATACTCTAAGACATATGATAAAAGGTAAAAAAAAAAATACTGTTGTATAAAAATGCTACAAGGGGTGTAACGATACCCTCATGTCACGATTCAATGCATATCACGACACTGAACTCACGATACGATATTATTGCGATACTCTAAGACATATGATAAAAGGTAAAACAAAAAATACTGTTGTATAAAAATGCTACTAGGGGTGTAACGATACCCTCATGTCACGATTCAATGCATATCACGACACTGAACTCACGATACGATATTATTGCGATACTCTAAGACATATGATAAAAGGTAAAACAAAAAATACTGTTGTATAAAAATGCTACTAGGGGTGTAACGATACCCTCATGTCACGATTCAATGCATATCACGACACTGAACTCACGATACGATATTATTGCGATACTCTAAGACATATGATAAAAGGTAAAACAAAAAATACTGTTGTATAAAAATGCTACTAGGGGTGTAACGATACCCTCATGTCACGATTCAATGCATATCACGACACTGAACTCACGATACGATATTATTGCGATACTCTAAGACATATGATAAAAGGTAAAACAAAAAATACTGTTGTAAAAAAATGCTACTAGGGGTGTAACGATACCCTCATGTCACGATTCAATGCATATCACGACACTGAACTCACGATACGATATTATTGCGATACTCTAAGACATATGATAAAAGGTAAAACAAAAAATACTGTTGTATAAAAATGCTACTAGGGGTGTAACGATACCCTCATGTCAAGATTCAATGCATATCACGACACTGAACTCACGATACGATATTATTGCGATACTCTAAGACATATGATAAAAGGTAAAAAAAAAAATACTGTTGTATAAAAATGCTACAAGGGGTGTAACGATACCCTCATGTCACGATTCAATGCATATCACGACACTGAACTCACGATACGATATTATTGCGATACTCTAAGACATATGATAAAAGGTAAAACAAAAAATACTGTTGTATAAAAATGCTACTAGGGGTGTAACGATACCCTCATGTCACGATTCAATGCATATCACGACACTGAACTCACGATACGATATTATTGCGATACTCTAAGACATATGATAAAAGGTAAAACAAAAAATACTGTTGTATAAAAATGCTACTAGGGGTGTAACGATACCCTCATGTCACGATTCAATGCATATCACGACACTGAACTCACGATACGATATTATTGCGATACTCTAAGACATATGATAAAAGGTAAAACAAAAAATACTGTTGTAAAAAAATGCTACTAGGGGTGTAACGATACCCTCATGTCACGATTCAATGCATATCACGACACTGAACTCACGATACGATATTATTGCGATACTCTAAGACATATGATAAAAGGTAAAACAAAAAATACTGTTGTATAAAAATGCTACTAGGGGTGTAACGATACCCTCATGTCACGATTCAATGCATATCACGACACTGAACTCACGATATTATTGCGATACTCTAAGACATGATAAAAGGTAAAAAAAAAATACTGTTGTATAAAAATGCTACTAGGGGTGTAACGATACCCTCATGTCACGATTCAATGCATATCACGACACTGAACTCACGATACGATATTATTGCGATACTCTAAGACATATGATAAAAAATAAAATAAAAATACTGTGGTATAAAAATGCTACTAGGGGTGTAACGATACCCTCATGTCAAGATTCAATGCATATCACGATACTGAACTCACAATACGATATTATTGCGATACTCTAAGACATATGATAAAAGGTAAAAAAAAATACTGTTGTATAAAATGCTAACACACAATGTATTTGATAATACATTGTGTGTGTAAATGAATAGGCTTGGACTTGGTGCTTGTAACCCAAGGACAATGGTGACACCAGAATAACAATATTCATGATTCTGAAGCTGAAAATACTGAATTATTTTAGACAAATATGCTTGTACTTTTTACTGATAACAGACATATTCACAAATATTCACCCTTTGCATTATTATACATTATATTCAACATTATATAGTAGTTTAATGTAGTAATGACACTAAAACTTTTCTCACACAGTCATTTTTATTTTATTTTGGGGGAACTAGCCATGATGTATTGTTGCATTTTGTATTGCGATATATTGTGGCGCGGTATATTGTTACACCCCTATGAAGTACTATGTAAATAAACATTACATTGTTTGATACATTGAACATACCCATATTCAAACATCCAACTTTTTTACCCATAAGTGAAGAGTGAAAATGACTTTGTTGAGAATATTTTGGAAATATTTTCCATTCTTAAAGCTATATTGAGTGTTATGATTTGCGTGAGCCATTCCCCTTACATCTTTCATGTAGCATGTTAATTTGTTACATTTTAAAATTTGTTACATTTATAAAGTGCTTTTCTGGGTACTCGAAGTGCTTTACATATGGAAGGGGGAATCTCCTCAACTACCAACAATGTGCAGCATCCATCTGGATGATGCGACAACAGCCATATTGTGCCAGAACGCCCTCCACACACCAGCTTACTAGTGAAGAGGAGACAGTGATGAAGCCAATCAGTATATTGGGATGATTAGGCCAAGAGGCAAAATTTGGCCATGGGGTTGCCAGGGTTATACCCCTACTCTTTTTTCAAAGGACATCCTTGGATCTTTTTTTTAATGACCACAGAGAGTCAGGACCTCAGTTTAATGTCTCATCCTCAAGACAGAAGAATTACATTTTGTTCATCGAGTTATATTATTGTGGACTAGGTTGTCGATAAATAAGCTATTATTAGGTACATCTTGCTTTTATCAGGTAGGACACCCATTTGCCTTCAGAAACGCTATAATTATTCATGGCTTAGATTCAGCAAGGTGCTGGAAACATTACTCAGAGATGTTAGTCCATTTTGACATCACGCAGTTACTGCATATTTTTCAGCTACATATCCATTATTTGAATATCCCGTTCCAACACAACTAAAAATGTGTTCTATTGGATTGAGATCTGGAGACTGGAGGTCATTTGAGGAAAGAGAACTCATTGTCATGTTCATGAAACCAGTTTGAGATGATTTTGGCTTTGTGATATGGTGCATTATCCTGCTGGAAGTAGCTATTAGAAGATGGGTACACTGTGGTTATCAAGGGGTAGACATAGTCAGCAACATTTCTCAGGTATACTGTGACGTTTAAATGATTCTCAGTTGGAACTAAGGGGCACAAAATGTTCGAAGAAAATGTCACTGTCCATATTACACCACTAGCAGAAGCCTGATCTATGCTTTCATGTTGTTTACGCCAAGTTATGACCCACCATCTGAATATTGCAGCACAAATTAAGACTCATCAGACCAGGCAACATTTTTACAATCTTCTAATGTCCGATTTTAGTGAGCCTGTGCCAACTGTAGCCTCAGCTTCTTGTTCTTAGCTGACAGGATGGACACACAGTGTGGTCTTATGCTGCTGTAGCCAATATGATTCAAGTTTTGACGTGTTTAGCGTTCAGATATTCTCTCGGTTGTACCAAGTTTTTTTTTTTTTTTTTACTTTTGTCTTTCTATCAGCTCTAACCAGTCTGGTCATTTTCCTCTGACCCCTGGCATCAACAAGACTGCACTTCACCCACAGGACTGCCGCTCACTGGATATTTTCTCTTTTTAAGAGCATTCTTTGTAAACCCTAGAGACGGCTGTGCATAAAAATCCCAGTAGATCAGCCATTTCTGAAATACTCAGACCAGCACGTCTGGCACCAACAACCCAGGTACACAGTACGAATTTGGCGACAATTTGGCCATCTAAGACATATGTTGCTAATCCTAAAAAAATCATCTGAACCTAGGCTACAATCTGAATTCTTTGATCATTAGTTTGACATGCTCAACGACAGCCAATTAATGACCGTTGCGATCAAATTTGACCTAAGATGAAATTCAAATTGTCTTTGTATTTCAAGAAAAGCCATGACCAAAATTAACAATAGCGATTTCTTTATAGCCAACATTTTAATCCTGTGTGTAATTCAGCTCACTGTAACCTAACACGTCACTGATTGATGATATAAAACTCCAAGTCAAGTTTTCTCGTGTGACCTGTGTCATCACACATCAAGGATTTATAAGATAATCATGTAAGGAACAAAATCATTATATATCTTCATATTTTCTCAATTCACCCCTCCGTGATAGGAGCAGCACAAAGTAAATTGTGGACACTATATACAGTTAAAGATTGTTATTGCAGGACAATTTAAACATAGATAAAAACATTGATAAAAATTGCAGTGGCTCTTTAGTTTGCTCGGCTAATGTTGTTTATCCCTTTTTCCAGTTTACAGCAATTTAATGATGAGTGTAGAATGATGAGTATTTTATTTTCCAGAATTTTTTTTATTTGCTGTTCATTCTTGAAGTGAAAGAATGTGTAGTAGACTACTTTAACTAAATCACTTCATGGTCTGCTCCTTTTCAAATTAGTAACATTGCACAAATGTGCAGTTGTGTCATATTTGCTTACTCATCAGTATGCAAATACCTGCCATGCTTTACCATTTGTGGCCAATATTAGGCTGTACTGAAGATGTTTTGGTCTACAGTATTCAATCAACAAGATAAAACGCTGAGTATAGATGAGACCACTGCCAAAAATCAATTCTCAGGTTCTTACTCGTTTTACCTGTAATGTTTTTTTTTTTTCTGCTTGTCTTGGACAGTGGCTGTGCCGGAGGGTTGAGGGGGAGATGATGTGACTCAGGGAGATTTCTGCCTAGTTGCTCTCTGCAGGGTGCGTGAAGGGGAAGGTAACCTGCAGGTGGGCTGAGGCTTGGAGGAATTCTCCTGCACATGGAGGAAATAGAACAAAATGGTTTCTGTGTCACGGTGCACAAATAGCACCTTCAATCAGAAAGCACATGACCTGTCACACGTGCTGAACTTGAACACACACATACACACACCCAATGCGTCTGTACTTATGACATAAAACCCTTCTTAGCCCTACGGCTGAAGTTTCAATGATACCCTTGACATTTCATGCCCAGCAATGCCCTCGCCCTCTATAGACCCCTTTCGCTCCAACGTCACAGTTACGTCACGGCGCTAGCTGGAGGCAATACAAAGTGAAAACTGGAGGCGGCCAATACAAACCAGCACAGATCCGGCTACATAATAAGGAGCTTAAATTATTGTTACTATTTTTAAATGTCATCTTGTTGTGTTGTTTGGTGCAATAATTGATGAAAAATGAATATGCTGTATCTGGAATTTTTATTTCTAGAAAATATTCACATGATTAAAATCGCACCATAATGTCACTCTTTACACAGTCGTCGTCTCGGCGCTGGCTCGGCAGAACTGCGGATCGTACACACAAGTCTTGTACAGGACCATTCAGCACATAGTTATAGGCAATCTAAAGATTGATATGCCCTCAGTTTCTCTTTACGATCGGTTTCTCTATAAGGTAGGTGTAGAAGTCAGGCCACTCAGCCGAGGTAACGTAACTTAATCCTATCAGATCGTCCATGCATTGAATGAGCGTGTATGCGACTACGGGTTGGCCAATCTGGTTCTATCCGTTAAAAATAACTTTTGGAAATAACAATCGCGGTCCTGGACACTGAGTGACCTAATACATTAAGATAAAATCGGATTTTCTCCAGTCATTGTTAAAAACAAGCTAACAATAGTTGCTAACTAGCCTAGCGTTAGTGAAGCGGCCAGAGGCATTGTTCTGCCTCCACCTAAGCTCCGCCCACATAAAAACGTCGCCATGTTTACCAACTGAAAAAAGGGGTCTATAGCTTCCATCATTGCCCCCCTCTCTCTCTGTGATGGATGGATGGATGGATGGATGGATGGATGGATGGATGGATGGATGGATGGATGGATGGATGGATGGATGGATGGATGGATGGATGGATGGATGGATGGATGGATGGATGGATGGATAGATAGATAGATAGATAGATAGATAGATAGATAGATAGATAGATAGATAGATAGATAGATAGATAGATGGCCTCATCTCGCCAGACTATTTCAATTGTCTGACTTTTCTATGCCTTTATTTTACTATCAATTCATTTTACATTCTCCAAGGTATTAACATTTACATTTTTCAGAACTCCAAGTAGGACGTTTCTGTACATAAATGTAAGCACTCTGGCAGTGATTCTGGCAGTGATTCAATTCAATATTTAGAAAATGTACTCTTGTAAACTTGATACTCAAGTACTTTTTGTACACTTGATACTCAAGTACTTTTAAAAATAAGTACTTTAGTACTTTTACCTAAGTACATCTGACTGTAGTACTTTTACTAGTTCTTGAGTAAAATTTAGCAAGGGATATCTACTTTTACTCAAGTAATGAAGCTGTGCACTCTGTCCGCATCATATGTATTATTGTTCACAATCATTTTCTTTTGTGTTCCACTGAAAAAAATAAATGAAATACTGCCTATTGGTTTGAAATAACACGAGGTTGAAAAAGAAAATGACACAGAAAAGCTTTAAATCATAGAGAAGAATATCTTCAGGACAAGCATCCGTAAAACATAAAGAAAACCTCATCTCAGACTGTATACTTTTCTGTTCTATTCATATCTGCATACAATTACAGCTAGTTACACTCCATCAGAGTCATTAGCATCCTCTCTCCGTCTTTCTAAAAACAGAAGATTGTACTGTGCAGACTCATAGCATAGCATGATTACAAGAGAGGCGGTCTCGGGAGAACAGAAACTCAAATCAGCAGCGTGAAAATGTCCCTTAGGGCTACACTAAAGGTTTTTCATTCCCTCTGTTGATGTGACAAGGTATGGCACAATAGAGCGCAGGCCACGCCTGTGTGAGCACAAGCACATGGGTATTGCGTATGGGATATCTCACATCTGTTTCTGTTTGAAGGGAGTAGAAAAAAAAGTTTTTTTCATTAACATATTAATCATTAAAAAGAGACATGATCTCAAGGGGAATCAAAACAGTTACAAATTATCTCCCTTCTAGTAAAGGCAGCGTTCCACAACCTTGTTCTGCCCACAAGGACTGTCTGCTGTCTAATTTGTCTGTTGCGTCAATTACTGTTGCTTGGGTCCTGACAACTGACAGATTTCCATCTCCATATTTGTCCTCTCTAGAGCGAATAATTAAATGAGAATATTTTCTTTCACCATTCATTGTAAAGGTGTTAGTAATTGAAGCATAGTAACCTTCTACTAACATTTTAATCAGTCAGTAGCCTTTATGAATCTTATTAAAGCTAAAATTCAGTATTATATAAGTCCATATCAGTATAGAAATTCATATAGTTAATGTCATGTTTAAAATGATTTGAATTTAAGTTTAGCTAACTCTTTTCTAATAAATTCAGGATTATAAATTCTGTAAACATGCTTGCATTGAAAAACCAAAATCCCCATTATGGCTTTTCAGAGTGAATTAAAGTAAGTGCTAATTCAGCTAAACAAGAGCTTGATTATGCGATGATCAGCAAGAGGGGCTTTTTATTTTGCAGGGCGGCTGCTGATGGGCTGTTTAATGCTGAGTGGAAGTGTTTACTTTGGAAGGAGAACACCCACAATGAGTGTTAATAAAATAGTACATTAGGAGATTGCAAGGCCATTTTTACACCCTTTAGAGAAAGCATATACTGTAACATGTTTTGCCTTGCTTCAAATGACTCTGCGGGAAGTCCTGGACTGAATAATCCATAGCAATGTAGTGTTCAGTGCAACAGCTCCCCCATCTTAACAGACCTATTGCATGCATGCTGTGCTTCGAAATAAATTGACCCAGCACATAAAATCATTGTAATGCTATGTTCTACGTGTATGTAGTTAAACTGAGTGCAGGAAAACAACCGGCCATGACTTTATGGAGCGTGCTGACCACACAAAGAATAGTAAATTGCCCATACAATCAACCGAGTGAAAAAGTCAAATACCTGTCAAACACATTTCAAGCATGTACAATTGGTTTTAATGAACACACCATTTACTGTGAATCATTTACGATTCATAGTCTGTTCCACCTCAGTGTGAGATTCATTTGAACTGTGGCGTCAAAGGACATGTTCAAACACAACTGCAGAGAACTCTTTGAGGGGAAAAGGGGGCAAAACTGAATTACAGTTACATCAGTGTCTAACACTTGGTATACGAGGACTCAAAAACGGATTTATTATACTGAAAATAACATTGGTCTAGAAAGGTATGTGTGTGTGTTCTTGTTTAACCAACATTGAGAGGACCAAATGTCACCACAAATATAGTAAAATGTGAGAATTTTTACTTGATTATGATTATGATTATGATTATAATTATGGCTTACAGCTTATGAAAACCCCCAATTCAAAATTATAATATTGTGAAAAGGTTTTCATAGCCATAATCATATAAAGGCTTGAGTCTAAGTCTATATAATAGATTTGTTTCACCTTTTAAGTGGAATTACTGAAATAAATTAACTTTTGCACAATATTCAAATTTTTCGAGTTTCACCTGTACCCTATGTCCCCACTAAGATGACAATATCAAAAATCATTGTCCTTGTGAGGAAATTTTTGTGGGCCCCCATGAGAAAAAAAAAAAAAAAAAAACGCCTTATAAACCATACTATGGCCGTGTGTCCACCAAAGCGTTTTTCCACGCGCCTGGCGTATGTTTTCAATTGTTTTCAATGGGAGCGCCGCGTTTTTTAAACGCCGTGAGCGTATCGAGGCGCAGAGCGTTCTTTTTCACGCTGAAGCACCGAGCGCCCAGCGTTTTTACTGGTCGCTGGGAGTTGAAAAATGTTCAACTTTGGATAAAACGCAGCGCTCATCACTGTCACATTTTACCCAGCCGTCCAATCACAGTGGAGGAGGGGCGGGACCAAACCACACCAACCAACTGTCACAACATTCAAACTGCTGCATATATTCCGTATCATAGCAACGAAACGTCTCAACAGAAAAACCGCTGCGCTGCCAAAGCGCTTTCAAGCGCCCAAAGCACGGCTTCTTCAGCAGAGCGTCTAGCGTTTTCAGCTGGATAAAAACGCTTTGGTGGACACACGGCCTAAGTAATGTGTTGTTTTTCCTTTGATGGGTATGTTTAGGTTTAGTTAGGGAGTATACTTTTAACAGTTTGGACATTATAAAAATAATTACGTGGAATGACCCCATAAAACATGAAAACCCAACATGTGTTGAAAACATGAAAACCCAACAGCAGAACTACAGAAATTGCTGTCCATGGTGCTGAATCGCGGTTCAACAACCTTAAAGCAGCACTTTGCAAAATTTTCGTTTTTGTCAAACTGTGACCCCTAGTGTCTTGTACTGTCGTAAATAGCATTCACGCAGAGATGTCTCTGCACTTATGGCCTGATCCCCTCCCCCTGTATACCGGTACCTGTTCAGTAGAATGGAAGCTGCAACGAGTGGAAATAAGGTGTGGCCCCTTTAAGAGCTGCACCCTGTTGAACAGTCGGCAGTCTATATTTTATGCGCCTCGAACGCCGGGTTATTTCTCTTTGATGTTTATTTTAGCAGATCTTTCTTGCCGTAAAGCAATTTGTTACATCGCGAGACCTGATATCACGCGACACTTCCTGATGCTCATTCAACCCGAAAATAGTAATATAACCATTGCAATAACTCTGAAGCTATTCAGTTTAGGTAATAATAAAAATAAAATAAAAATAAAACTGCATAGAGCTGCTTTAAGTGGTTTGTGGAGAGTATTTATGTCTGTAGCAGCAGTTAGGCCTGTATACACAAATGTGCCCTTATGGAAACTGTCAATATACATCTTTCTGAGTGTTTTAAATTGCAGCATATGAACAAGAGTTGCATCGATACTGACATCTGAAATGTCAAGCTATATAGCAGAGGTAAATGCAGCGTTGACGCTTTTATTGGTATGATAGTTCAAATTTGGCAAGCTGTATTAGCATTTACCATTTAATTAGAAACAAAGAAGGTAACTTTCTCATTCGTTTAGGCTACTTGTTCATTTGCTACTGGTCTATCCTACTAATTACAATACCGTAATTTCATATTTTCTTCAAAATGCTGTCAGTATGTGATATCTAGTTTTTTATAAGTATGCATTCCAGTTTTACTAGTAGTTTTTATTTAGGCACTTTAAGTAACTGCCCCAACGCATGCTAGAATGTATTCTAGCTTTACTACTACTGTAGTCACTTTCCCAATAACTTAATATTTTTGGTTGCACTTTATTCTACAGTACTTGCACTTACCTATATTAGTGTAAATGTACTTGGTAGTGGTAACTACATGAGTTAAGGTTAGTTTTAGGGGTAAGTTCAGGGTTTGTACCTAGTTATTATCCAGTTATTACAAGTATTATCATATGTATAGTACGTACATGGGGGAAAAGTAGAAGCCAAATACAAATGTCAAGTAAAAAAGCAATTTTAACTAGTGAGATTACATTTAGAGTTGGAAAACACACTAGTGGCCCATTTTTTTTTCACTGTTAGATTTCTTAATCACTTTTTTAATATATCAAATAAGAGCTCACTGTTTACCTGCTACTGAGATGCATGTGCAATTTGTGTTTATTACTTTAGCAACAGTGAGCTCCCTGCACGTTATTTTTTTTTTTCAGAATAATGATCTTGGTCCAATTCATCTTTAATTGCTTAATTAAACAAACAAACAGTGTGCTTATTTATTTGTTTATTATTTTTTTTTTTTTTTATAATTCCTACATCATATTTAGGCATCCTTTCAGGGGATCCAACTCGCACCCTGCCTAATAGTTTCTAAAGAAAAGTTGCGTTTGAAATTGAAATGAATTGAGTGAGCGTGTCATAACTTCTGAATTATTGTTAATATTTTCTTATTTCTTGGGCTTCACTTTTGACATCTCTACAGATGGAACTCGCAATAAGATAAGTTAATTTATTTCAGTAATTCAACTTAAAAGGTGAAACTAATATATTCATTACATGCTATTTCAAGCCTTTATTTGTTATAATTTTGATGATTATGGCTTACAGCTTATGCATGTAATGAGTCTATAATATATTAGTTTCACCTTTTAAGTTAAATTACTGAAATAAATTAACATTTGACCGATATTCAAATTTTTCGAGTTTCACCTGTTTGACTTCTTTCAGCCAAACACAACCAGAGTTCTATTAAAACAAATATCCTGGCTCTTCGAAGTTTAATAATGGGATTGAATAGTAACTTCATCCACCCATCAGAAAAATGATCCATACGGCTCCAGCCTTCTGAAGTGAAGCCTTATTTGTTTGAACTGTAATACGAGTCTACTCTCACCTTAGATTATATTTACTCCTACTCCTAGTAATATAGTAATATTTACACTACTCCTACATGCCGGAACTTGACTCTTGCACTGTGCGGACGGATGTTACCGGAAGCTAGTGAATACAGGTCATGATGTTAAAATTATTCTTTATAATATAATATATAGTCATGGATATTTTTCTTACAAACATGCATTACTTTGCTTCAAAAGACCTTTATTAACCCCACCGCATATGGATTACTTTTATGATGGATTGATGCACTTGTTTTTGGCCTTCAAAATCTCAGTTATTCAATTCCATTATTAAGGAAGAGCAAGGGCATTATATAACTCAGGTCTGTTTGGCTGAAAGAAGAAATGCATAGCCTACACCATAGGATGGCTTAAGCGTGAGTAAATAGCCTATAGATATAAAATAGCAGCTCATTTTAATTTTTGGATGAACTTACCCATTAATAAACTTGCTACATTGTCTCTAGTCATTCTCCCAAAATCTTGCGCTGCTGCTACCACTCAGGGGTTTAGGCTTTAGGCTCCTGTTTCCAACTGATGACTGCTAGCTTTGAGGCTGCAGTCAGTCAACCTTGACTTACAGTAGGTAAAACAAAACTTAAAGTAAGAACAAAATCGATACTACTTTGTTCTAATGAATAAACGATAAAACAGCTTGCCATAGTCCGTGGTCTCCTTTACCTTTTCTGCCGTCTTCGAACCCTAAATCCACAGCACTTCTCACTGAGGGGCGCAGAGTGACACACGTATCAAGTATTGTGAGCCAATCCGCGATGACGTCCTGCGTTCTCTCTCCCAATCCAAACAGCAGGGTAGAGAGAACAGTCGTTTACTGATGATCCCAGGCAGTGGCTGGTGCAAAACTACTAGTTTGTTTAAACAGCTCGACCGTTATTATGAGGAATTTGCTCCGTCTTCCCGCTTCTTGTGCAATTAATTAGACCTATCTTTACATTTTTTTTAATCATCCTATGTGTGTTATATCGACTTAACGAGTTATTAATCCATCTTCAGTCGCGTGTGGAGAGCGTACGCAGCCTGAGGAGAATCACTTTTGATACCTTTTGGATGGAGGGTTGCCGCGGAAGGCAGTTGGTCAGTGACTGTGTGGATTAAGCTGGAGGGAAGTACTTGTAAAGGTGCGGTGGTGTGAAGGTCTCCCTGCTGAGATTTGAGTTTACTTCCCGGGTTTAATGCGGACGAGAGCTCGCGCTCGAGCGAGGTGCGTCGACGGGCGGGAGGAGAATGGCACGAGCTTCCGCGCTTCTGAGGGAAAAACAAGTACTTAGCTTCCTTGAGGGGCGTTGGGCACGTTGCGCAGGAATTTGACTGTCCCTCAGTACGTTATTTGGGGATATCAATCCATTACTTCGAAAGGAAAAAAAAAATACCCCATTGGATTTTAGTGGTTTTGGATATGGGTTTTTGGGTGTTGGATGCCTTCATATCACGCGCACCTTTGAATTTAGTGTGAATCCAGTGGAGCACAAAATGGGAAAATATGACAAGTGAGAAGATTCGGTTCCTCTGACCCTCGGTGCTTCAAGCAGGACTGGTGTTCCTTCTGCTAGGTAAACTTTTCTTTCTGAATATTGAATGGTTTGTCACATTGAACTGTCCCTTCTCGACCTTAACGAATTGGTGCCGAGAGTCCGAATCTCTTTGCAGAGTGCCTAGATGGGTTTGGCAGATCGGGCTTTGGTTTTTAGGCAAGGTCAATTTATATATCTTCATGTATACTATTTTATCTTGCTCTCAAAAATGAGAAACAGCTATATTGAGTTTATTATAGCATATTGTATTTGATTCATGCATTAATAATACATCTATGATTTGGTCTGAGTGCTTGTATAGTTTAGATAATGGCATGGATGGGTTTGTGTGTGTGTGTGTGTGTGTGAATGGGGGTTATGTTGAAAGACTAGATCAAAATCATTATACATATATATATACACACATATATATATATATATATATATATATATATATATATATATATGCACCCACATCCGTAATCTGCTCTATTCTGAGTAGTGATCATATTATAAGTGACATTCTCTGTCATTTTTATTTTGTTATCATTTATTTATTCATTCATGTATTTATTTTGTGAAATTTTGACTATCAGAAGCAATGAAGTCATATTCTTCAACATTGGCAAAGACTCTGTCGATGATACAGGAGGCGTATCCAAGTCATGTGCACTTGGCTTTCATTTCATTTCATTTTTTTTGTTTTTCGATTAAAAGATGAGAAAAGACTGTGAAAAAAGTGTTATTTTTTATTTTATTTTTTTATTTTTTTGTAGAAAAAAAAATAATAATAAAAAAGTCTGTGTAATTGTGTATAAAATAGTGTAATTTTCCATAAAATGTACTGTCAGTAATCGTTTGTATATAAAATAATAGATTGGAGTTGATGTGATGTGATCCTAGTTCCATCTTTTAGCACATATACTGTTTCACATGCAAATATATAGATGTTTGAGTAGTATGCAGCTTTTTGATTGTCCTAAACAAAAAAATGTTCTCACAAGAAAAAAAAAAAAACATCCTCACATTTGTGAAAGCATTTAGAATGTAAATTTTTGTTACTATTACTTAAATACTTTATATAAACTATATATATATATATATATATATATATATATATATATATATATATATATATATATATATATATATATATATATATATATATAATTTTAAATTAAATCAAATCCCATCAGTTACTGTTCACAAAATGACAATATAAGAAAAACATTGTTTGATATGAGGCTGCTTTATATTGTTGGCCACAATGTTTGAGTTTTCACAGAGAGTAGATGGGTAACTGAACTGCAGCACCTCTTCCACTGGCTGGTGGTGCTATAATTCAATTTATGTCTCACACAGCAGCTCTGAGGGCCGAGCACATTGTCTTCCAGGATAGGGGTGTGGGAAACCATGGTTATATCATGCTGACAAGACTATAAAGAAAGAGGGTTGTTTACTTTATATTACCATATTCATATTACAGTACAGTAACAAACCGCATATTTAATGTGTTATTGTTTTATGGAGCTGCTTGCATGTTGGCCTTGTGGTTGACAGTAACCAGTCATTTTAACATTTAATATGTAGCATTGATTTCCATTCATTGCATAACATTGAAATTAGCATGTTTTTCAGCACCACGGACAGCTCCTAAATCTCCTGTGTTGTGTTGTTGAATGTGGTGCCAGAATGCCAGAAAGTCCTTCAGACTTGTTTAATTACTCTTGCTGAGATTAGACCCATGATATGATGAGATGGAGCCAAGAAGCCAGCAAGAGCGCAATGATTCCCACAGCTTGCGTGATTGTTTGAGTAAGGAATTGGAAAAGGGGAAAAAATAGAAGATTATCACACTCATTGAGTTATTTTGCAGTGCAGAATAAAACTGAGCTTTCCTTGAAATTATGCAACTAGCAGGTCGCAATCACAGCAGACCTGGCAAGTTTTACTTGATTTATAGCCATATGCTGTAAGCTGCTTGTTCGAGATAGGCGTTACATGTGTGACTTTGCGCGTGAGACATGTTAGCTGTGCTGAGATGATGAAACCTAATATGCCTCTGTTTACAGCTGTCTGGAGAAGCAGCCATGTCTCTGGTTTGTTCCTGTGCAGTTTTTATTTTATTTTATTTTGCTTCAAATATAGAAATGAGATGAACCTGACAGCTATGTATGTGTATGGTTGAGTAAAGGGTAATCCTATGTTTATTCTTTTTGTTTTTATGGATTTGTTTGATGTCATGAACTAAAAGGTTAAATCAAATCTCTCAGTCATTTATCCATGTTGCTTTCTGTGGGCGATTTGTATAGTATTTCTGCTCTGACTGGTATAGAGTATTTTCAGGCCTGGGTGGCCAGCTGTTGCCTGACCTGTCTTTGAATTCAATCAGCTAAAACAGATGAATTAATCACAATAGATCTGTGACTCAACTAGATGAATGTAAACATGTCAATAAAGATTAGATTCCAGATATGAGGTGAAATCCCAACCTTTAGTGCACGTTCTGACCTCATATCGAACTTTTGAGACATACAGCAAACGATGTGTGCCACTATTTTCCCTAGAAACGTACTCCTCAGGGTTTTTTCTTTTTTTTCCCCATTTGTTAATGCAGGTCTGCACAGGTTAAAACACCCCTGCAGTGTTTCTGCAGATGCTGTGAGGCACCACCTGAATCTTCTGGAAGCTATTTTTGAGTCGCAGAGGACAGAGTCACTGGGATGTAAAAAGCTTTTGGGCAGGCGTTCAGGAAATGTTTGGCGATAGAAGTAAACTGAAACAATTCCCAGTCAAAACAGCCAGATTTTGAAGCAGCATAAAATCACAACATAGCCACAGTGAGGTCACGATCAGCACTAAGCGTTCTTAATGTCGGATTCGGGAGTGCTGGCGTTCGGAGATGGGGAGAGTGTGCTTGTTGTCAGAGTGACGGGAGAGGCGGCGAGGTAAAATGGCAGAGGTTCGAGTGGGAGTCACTTTAGGGGGTGTTTGTCTGTGATAATGAGCTGTCACTGAGGCACCGGTGCCTTGTTTTGATCTTGCCACCCTGCTGCTTTAAGCAAGAGAAAAGTGACAGCTGTGAATAGAAATAGAGTCTGTATACAAAGGCCAACGAGGCTATAATGCCATTAGTTTTGTATATGTGTTGGAGAGTGGTGACTGTCTTCTGTGTTCATAGGAAATTGTGTGTGTGTGTGTGTGTGTGTGTGTCTTGTACTGGACAGTGGTAGATGTGGTCTACAGAAGACTTGAACAGAGAAAAATGATCATGAATTAGAAGCCGTCAAGTGTAAAAACAAGAAATAAATCACCAAGAGGAAGTGAGTGACTAAAAAAATGAGTTATCTAATATAATAATAGCATATACTGTACATTTGTAAGTGCTGCAGATCAAATGAGACATTTGGACTTTTTCAAATCATAATTTTAATGATGTTTAAGATGTCCCATATTTTTTTCTTTCTTTTTGTAATTGGTTGTATATTTAATATTGATTGATTTACCATCTGCCACATCTACATGTGTGAGGAAACTAGGTCATAGATAGATAGACATTTTTATTGGAAGTTAACACATTTTTCTTCAGATTTCTTAACTGTAGAAAAAATACAAAGCATCATTTTATGTGTGTGTGTGTGTGTGTGTGACAACCACAACGAATTAAATCATTTTATTTAAACCACAATGAATTAAATTCTTTACAAAAATACTATAACTTTTTTTTTTTCACATTGCATTAGTGTCGTCTCAAAACTGGAATTTCTAACTTCGATGTGATATCTTGAAAAAAAAAACCTCAAAAACAACTCAATTTGATACTCACCACTCTCAAGCTGTTTCAGAGAGCTTCATGTGCAAGCATTCTGGGTGTGAGCACGAAACTTGCGAGAATTAGTAAAATTATGCAGAGTGAGTGAGAGGAGCCGGGTGTGTGTCAACTCACTGTTGGGGAGAAGAGTGCGAGAAAGTGCTGCAGGTATTGGTCTATTAATTCGATGCTGTGGAAAATGAGTATGGGAATTGTTTCCAATATTTCAGTATCTATACATATCGGAAAATCTATATTTTTGATAACATTACATTACATTGATAGTAAGTATGGTGTGGGTTTAGTTGATGTATCATATCATGTCAATCCAAATGGTCATAAAAAAATCTTTAATGCAAAATAAAGTGAGCATTTCACCCCTATATATTTTTGTTTTATATAAGGGT